AATTTTTTAAATTAAATTCTCCAACATAGTTTTAATCACAGCTTGCCTATTTTAATCTGAATTTTGCAATTTGGTTTCAATTAAAGGAACAGTCAAGGCACCATAACAACTTAATCACGACTACATTGCACTTTTTAAGTGAATAAACACCACAGTATCTTTACCTTGTCAGAAGCAGTCTAGTCGGTGCTTATATTAGTACATAGAGATATATTTGCACATTGGCATGTCTCTCATAGCTGGCCTTAAAGTGTTTTAATTAAATTAGTTTTCCATCGGTTTCACAAGAGAAAAATTACAGTAATTCCAATTATTGTTAACAAAAAACAAAACACAATAAACAAAATCAAAAACAAACAAAAGAAAACATCCCAAGAATAAAATAAGTGAATAGTTTGAAATGTTCGCAGTGTTCTAGAAAACCTGGCTTTGTGTTTTTTTGTTCATTCCTAATACTAAAGTGATTATGCATTTCTCAGAACAGTAAATCTATATGCTGTAACAGCCCCAAATGCCCACACGCTACAATTGGAGACAGAAAATTCTATTTGACTGCATTTACAACCAAACTCAATGTTGCAGTATTTTTTGCCTTGTTAAAATATGTAAAACCCTAAGAGATGCAATGCCACGGGATAAGATTTCCTTCCTTTTGCATAAAATAATTATAATGAACAAGAGAAAGAAAGCTCGGTTCGGTTTCTCTGGGAGGTACTCCAGTTTTTCTTTTTACATTTGAGCTCTCTAAGGTCCGTGTAACCTGATTGCTATCACTAAGTGCCAACAACTCTATGAAGGTTGGCGAACTCATCTTTATTCAAATGTTACGCTTGTATATATTTCTGGCTGTTTTCTTTTTTCATTTTTAATATTTCTTTATATTTTTCTACTTTTTTCTACACTTTCAACGTTTATTTCTTTTTGCAAAGCCAAAGCGAAATATGTGTTTTAATTCCTAAAAGTGGCTGCAGAATTGAGTGCTTAAGCATGCTAAAGAAAATTTAGCAGCATTGTTATTTTATCATTGCCTCCACCTTTCTATATTTATAGACGGGGACAATAAGCTGAGTTAGAGTAGTGTATGTAGTTTGGAGTGTTTGTTAACAAATTGCGTGTCGGTAAAGTTTCCTGCAGCACCTGAGTACATCAAGGCTTTGCATGCAAAACTTTTCTTGTTGCAGTTGACAGTAATATCAAGGAGAAATCTACTTTGGGTAGTACCAGAGGACATATTTATCACACCTAAGGCCTGTCCCCTTAAAGTTCTTAGCTGCTGAAGTTTTCCGGACGTATGAGACAAGCATCTTTCATATGTCCCTTTTTTTTACAGTATAAACAAAGGCCCTCCTCTCTCCTAAACTGTTTCTCTGCCTCTGACAGTCTTGTAACCCCCAATTGCATAGGTTCCAGATTGTACAGGAAGGCCAGATACAACAGGCCTGGAGAAGTGAGGCGCCATATTCAAGTGTCTGGTTCTATTTCTAGGTTGTCGATATGCATCACATACCTGATGTAGTCATTTAAGCTCCCTGGTAGTTCTTTGGCTACAATCTCGTCAAGGATAGTTTCAGATAATCCCTCTGCAAAGGCAGTGATTAATCCCCTATTGGTCCAGTCTACCTCAGAAGCTAGAGTGCGGAATTCAATAGCATAATCTGAGACAGACAGGTTCCCTTGTTTGATATGCTTTAGGGCAGTAGCAGCGTTGGTCTCCCTACCCAAAGGTTCAAACATTAGTTTAAATTCCGTAAGAAGTGACCGGTACTTTAGCGAGTAGCTACTGGTTGGTAAAAGGTAGCGAAAAGATTTGAAATGAGCCGTTACTGTTTCAGATGTCGAATTGTCTCTTTAGTAATAGTTATAGTGTATACTGACATCATTATTAAAGGGCGAAGTTATGGATGCAATTAGTTGTACATGGTCACTTCACCACCGAATGACTCAGAGCATCTTTACTAAAGCAGAAGCAGCACTATATTTTTCTCTTTACAACCACTGCAACAGATGTTTAAAGTTCATGAACGATTATGTGTTCAAACAAAGTGATGTGCTGTCTTTTCACTTTTAATTTTAGATATTCGTTTTACAGCTGGAATTTTGTTTTACAGCTGTGTCATCTGCAGATGACTGTCCAAAGAATCGCAGGTGGGGATTATACCACCTACACCTGGAGCAAAGAGAAGTACGTCTGCTCTTTTTAGTGTAAGTACATTTTCACTTATTATTTAGACCTACCCATATGGAGAACACTATTGTTTCCTTTCTTTGATCTTACATGGTCCTACTCACCGTTAACCTGTTGTGAGCTGTTGCCAGAGGGATATCCTTCAAGTGGGGATTAAGTACCACTGTATGTAGTTTTACCAAGAGCTGGTTATAGCTCTACATAATGTGAGTTGAAAATTTGACTTTTGTGTTGTCTGTAATACCTTTGAGCGACAGATTGCACTATTTGGTTCTGGTTTTTCTTTTTCATACGCTGTTACAAAGTAAAGGTCCACCCAAGAACATTGTATAGGAATCAGTTACCACAAGGATTATCACCTTTATGCTGTGCTTTGAACTGTATCTGGATACTGGGTATCCCATCATACTTTTATTTAAAATTGTGGTTACATTTGTTCCTTGTTTTTGTTTTTATAATTTGGAGATATCATTGTTTGGCACATGCTATATTTTTGTTTGTTTCAATCTTCTGATTGTTTTATAAGGGTTTTTAGAGGTATCCCCTTTTTTGAGTTCTGCCTTGCCATTTTAAATCAGTTATCAAGTGCTGTCTCAACTGTGTTGTTATCTTTACTTAAATGTTGAATTTCCCATAAGGCCACCGAGGCCTCGGAGCAGATCAATGATCTTCCTCACCTCACCTCAATATTGTATCATAGCATTGCCACTGTAACATTCCCCTAGTGCTGACCAGCAGGAACTGTCTGCACCCACCAGGGTGCAGCCCGCAACATCTCTCACCACACCTCTAGGGATCAGTGGCCCAAAGTAAGCATCAGGGAGGGGGGAACATTTTTATTAAGCAGCTCCTCAACCAATTTCCCCACACTACAATCCCGGTATTCCAATTACAGGCCCCTGTACTCCTACTTTATCCACTATCTCCCCCCACTACAGCCCCTATCACCCCCATCCACAACTCATATCTTCTAAACATAGCCCCTATCTTATCACTATAGCCCCTATCCTCCCACTAAGGTTTCGCCCCCCCACTACTCCTTTCTCTCACTACATCCTCGACCCCCTACCACTGCTCTTACTCCCCACTACAGCCACTGTCTCCCACTACAGTACCTATACCCTTTTTTCCCCAACCACAACCCCTTCTCCTCCTCAACACAAACATAACAGCCACTATCTCCCCAACACAAACAACTGTCCCTATCACCCAAAATGCACAACCCCTATTCACCGCACACATATACTACAGACCAGACCCTCCATACATACTTTAATACCCCAATTTCCCCATGCAGACACAACAGCCTCAATTCCCTCACACAAACTCCCAAAACACACACTATAGCCCCCATACAGCTGCTACACTGAACAACAGGCACACAAAAAGTCAAAATCCTCCCCAAAACATGCAGCCACTATGCCCCTTAGCACATATACTACAGCACCTATCTACATACTACACCACAAACATCCCCGTCCATCCACACACAACCTGCAACCACACAAGCAGCATCTCCCCAACACATGCAAACCTACAAGCAGTTTCCACCCACACACACACACGCGCACAAACAACCCCACACACAGCATCCCCAGAAACAAGCAATCCCCCAAGTAGCATCTTGACAAATCTCGCAATATTGCATCCAATCATATACTCCAATATACAGTGGAACCTCAGTTAACAAACGCCTCGGTAAACGAAAAATTTGGTTTACGAATGAAAATCCATTAACAAAAATGCCTTGGTTTACAAATTTTTTCCGCAATATGAAGCAAATGTCCTGCCCCCCTGCATACTGGAGTCTGGGTAGCATGTGAGCGTGGAGGTATTGGAGATGTTTTTGAGCCATTTGCAGCATGTTTTTGGAGCATTTTGGAGCCATTTGCAGCAAGTTTTGGAGCCTTTTTGGTGCATTTCGCAAGAGGTGGATAGGTAGTAAGCTGAGCTTAGTTGTTTGCATGCCTTTTACTGTGTGTTCTGCATTGTGGGGTGATTTTCATACCAGCTCATGTGCTGTGCATGGCTTTTACTATGGTTTTCATGCCAGCTCATGTGCACAGTTACTGTGTGTTTTGCATTGTGGGGTTGTTTTTCATGCCAGCTCATGTGGATATAAAGCATTTTTTTTATTTTATGCTCACTTAGTGACGGTGGTGTCATGGCACCCAAGAAAGCAGCGGAAGCAGAGAAGAGGAAGAAGGAGATGATTCTGCTTGAGGACAAGAAAATAATCATCAGGAAGCATGAAGGAGGAATGCGATTGACTGACCTTGCCAAAGAGTATGGAACGATCGCTACACAATCCACAATCGCAACAATCCTAAAGATGAAAGAGAAGGTAACTGGGAGAGATGCAGCCAAGGGAGTCACCAGGGTCTCCAAGCAATGGCCATCTGTTTTGGAGGAAGTCGAGAAGTTGCTCCTGCTCTGGATTGAACAGAAGCAGCATGCAGGGGACTCAATGACCAAGGAGATCATCTGCAAATAAGCCAAGGCCTTGCACGCTGACCTCCTCAACCAACAGCCAGAAACGTCAGCCAATGCAGAAGGCTTCAAGGCTAGCAGGGGGTGGTTTGAAAGGTTCAAGCCCAGATCTGGCATCCACAGCATGGTCAGGCATGGAGAGGCTGCAAGTTCCGATGTTGCAGCAGCTGAGGAATTTGCTACGGAATTCTCATGGTTTCAGAGGGCTACCTTTCTCAGCAGGTCTTCAACTGCGACGAGACTGGACTCTTGTGGAAGAGGATGCCAAAGTGTACCTTCATCATGGAAGCGTACCTTCATCACCTCATTGTCTGGCCACAAGCCGATGAAGGACTGTCTCACCCTCCTGTTCTGCGCCAACGCCAGTGGAGACCTTAAGATCAAGCCCCTGCTCATCTACCATTCAGAGAACCCACGGGCCTTCAAGAAACACAAGGTGAACAAAGAGCAGTTGAGCATTTTATGCAGGCTAACCCAAAGTCACATGCCTCTTGTTTGTGAAGTGGGTCAAAGTGTTTTTTGGTCCTGTTGTCAAGCAGTACCTTGTGGACAATACCCTGCCGTCAAGGCCAAGCTGCTCATGGACAATGCTCCTGCTCATCCCCTAGGCCTCGAGGAAGACTTGCTGGAGGACTTTAACTTCATCAAGGTCATGTTCCTTCCACCTAACACCACCCCACTACACCAGCCAATGGACCAGCAGGTCATCTCCAATTTTAAAAAACTCTACAAAAGGGAGCTTTTCCGGCGATGCTTTGAGATGACTGATCAAGCCTCACCCTCCATGAATTTTTCAGAGAGCATTTTGACATTGTGAGCTGTCTGCAGATTATCACCATTGCCTGGGCCGGGGTCAGTCAAACAAACCTAAATTCTGCTTGGTGCAACCTGGGCCAAACTGTGTTGTGAAATGTGCCTCCAATGCTTCTGCACCTGCACCAGAGTCAACAGTGTTGGAGGAAATTGTTTCCTTGGGAAGGAGCATGGACCTGGAGGTGACTGAGGAGGATATCTACGAGCTGGTGGAGGAACATGACTGTGACTAACCACCGAGGGCCTGGTGGAATTGCAAAAGGAGGCGATGGAGGAGCAGATCTTATTTGAGGAGGAGGAAATGAGTGAGGAACAGCTCTCTTCCACTGAACTCAAGGAGGCATGCCAAATATGGGTAAACATACAGACTTTTACCCAGCAGCACCACCCAGATAAGGCTCTAGCCCAGAGACTTGTGATCATTTTTGACACAGACATCATGTCCCCTTTCCGAGGGATGCTTAAAAGGTAGCAGACAATGGAAAGGTTCCTACAAAAACAGCCTAGACATGAAGAAGAACCTGCTTGTGTTAGTGCTGCCCAATTTCCCTCCTCATCTTCCAAAAAGTGTTGAAATTGTTTTGAAATTTTCCATGTTTTCCCTGTTGACATGTGATTTATGTACAGTTGAAGTGTACTGTGCCATGTTACCAACAGTCTGCCATGTTTTAAAAGTTGATGTGTGATGTTTTAAAACATAAAGTTGGATGATTGAAATGTTATTGCTTGATTAATCATGTCCCTGTACAGTATTTATGCCTTTAAAGTGCACTTTATAAAGAGTTTTGAACAAATAAAATACTTTTTTTTTTTAATTGGTTTTCAATGCATTCCTATGGGAAACCGTGTTTCGGTTTACAAATTTTTCTCAATACGAACCGTCCTGGAAAACGCATTAAATTTGTAAACCGAGGTTCCACTGTATATATAGACAATGTTTGGTATGTCTGGCATGCACCCTCTATTTTGAAAAAATAGATCTATACCAAGGTGCAGCACAGCGCTGAAAATATATCCTATATGAAAAAATGAGCGCAGTCACTAGATTTCCAAAAAATCTAATAAGTGTATTTAAATGTTCACAAAATAGATTAACGTTTCAACCTTACAGTCTTTATCAAGATACAGAACAGTGCACAAATTTGCTTTATATAGCAGTCAAAAATACAGAGAATATGCATAAGTGAGTAACTTACCAGTTACAGGTGTTAGCACACAATCCCCAATGCCAGTGCCCAGAAACTCGGAAGTGTACGTCATGTGTGCGTGATGACATCATCATGCATGACAGGCGCAGGACGCATGAGTCATTGCGTCCTGTTGCCATAGAAACATGCCCAGTGTCCCCTGAGAGGAGTGAAAAGTGCTGATTGCCAAAGGCATAAAAACAAACAAAGGAGGATATAATAAAGAAAAGTTTCTTAATAATAGAGCCTATATTAATAATCCTAAAGGGGCCAATAGAGGACCTTAGAGTATAAGAGAGCAGATCTATGTAATGGATTGCGATTTGTCCGGAATTTGGGAGATCCTCCCTTTTTTCCCTCTAGTGTTGACGTCTAACTTGATTTGTAAATAAATTCAGCATTTCGATCTTTTTCCCCCATCATTCATCTCTTTCATTTGTCCCCTAATTCAAGAGCATCTAAACATATTCAGGTATCACTTTTTGCTCAATTTTACCTCTGCATGGCGCTTTGGAGATACGGAATTTGGCCAAACAGCTGGTTGGTCCAAATGTGTCCGAATCTCCGTTCTCAAGTCTAATTATTATAGTGTCAATTTAGGATGTCATTTAAATAAATCATGACACGGTATAATATGTCATGTGTCCTTGTTCATCTGAGGTTGTGTTTACCTGCTCAGAAACAGATGATTGTTAATATGTGCTGATTTGTAAAACCATAGAATTCAAAGAGGGTGTACTTTCTTCTTCCCATGGCTGTTCATATGTATGTAATTATTGGATCATTAAAAGAGTCCATTAAAAAACAAAGAAAGTAGAAATATGCAATTTAAGAAATAAAATATTATGAAGGAAAAGGGCATCAAGTTGCAAACTGAGTTAGAGCAGACTGTAGAAAAATCCTCCAGCTATATCTGGATATAATGCAACAATATATTTGTAATTTTATAGTAAAATACAACTTAAAGTTCTATCTCCATGATGTGCCTTTCTAGTTAATATGCCGAATATGGCAAGTGGTTTAAATGGATGGGGAATAGATAGTTGTTATGGTTAAATACAGCTCGGGGGGATTTTATGAAGTCTAATTACAGTTACTTCCTTTTTATTTAATTATGCTGCTTAAAATCTGCTTCATTTCGACTCCACAGAACAGAGGTTTGTTCTTGCAGTGCCACAAATGTTGAATACATTCAAGTGTTTAATTACTGTTTCATAAAAAGCAGAAATAAAAAGTGCTTCTGGGAGTGAAATTCAATGTGTTCCATTCACTTTGTTAATGATAGAGTTCATTTTACAGGTAGGTTAAAGGGACAGTTAAGCCTTATGATGAGTGAACCTCTAATTATATTTCTTTGGTGCAATATTAAGTAAAATGTTATTACCAATTTGTGCACCTACTCTTTTCTTATAAATGTAGCCTCATTCCGTGTATATGTGATGTATCACTCCTCTTTACTGTCACATGGGCAACATTCTGTTACAGAACCATTCAGGAGATCAAGTGTGGCCCTTAAAGAAAGAAAGAGAGGAGAAACCACTAAGGGGCAGGGGAGGAGGGAGTGGAGAGACCACTAAGAGAAAGGGGAGGAGTGAGAGGAGAGACCACTAAGGGACGGGGGTTGTAGAGCTGACTAAGGGATGGGGGGGAGAGACCAATAAGGGACAGGAGAGGAGGGAGTGGAGAGACCACTAAGAGAAAGGGGAGGAGGGAGTGGAGAGACCACTAAGAGAAAGGGGAGGAGGGAGTGGAGAGACCACTAAGAGAAAGAGGAGGAGGGAGTGGAGAGACCACTAAGAGAAAGGGGAGGAGGGAGTGGAGAGACCACTAAGAGAAAGGGGAGGAGGGAGAGGAGAGACCACTAAGGGATGGGGGGGAGTAGAGATGACTAAGGGATGGGGGAGAGCACTAAGGGACAGGAGGGGAGAGCTCTAAGGGAACAGGAGGAGAGGGGAGAGCACTAAGGGGCAGGAGGTGAGGGAAGAACTCTAAGGGACAGGAGGCAAAAGCTCTAAGGGACAAGAGGGAAGAGGAGAGCTCTGAGGAAAAGGAGGGGAGAGCACTAAGGAAAGAGAGAGCACTCAGGAAAAGTGGGGACTGGGAGAGCACTAAGGGACATGGGGCCGGGGAGATCACTAGGGGGAAGGGGAGAGCACTAAGGGACAGGAGGGGAGAGCTCTAAGGGAACAGGAGGGGAGGGGAGAGCACTAAGGGGCAGGAGGTGAGGGAAGAACGCTAAGGGACAGGAGGCAAAAGCTCTAAGGGACAAGAGGGAAGAGGAGAGCTCTGAGGGAAAAAGGGGAGAGCACTAAGGAAAGAGAGAGCACTCAGGACGGGGGGACGGGGAGAGCACTAAGGGACATGGGGGCAGGGGAGATCACTAGGGGGAAGGGGAGAGCACTAAATGACAGAAGGAGAGAGCTCTAAGGGAACAGGAGGGGAGGGGAGAGCACAAAGGGACAGGAGGGGAGAGGAGAGCACCGAGGGAGAGGAGGGGAGGTTAGAGCACTGAGGGAGAGGAGAGCACTAAGGGAGGAGAGAGCACTAACAGAAAGTGGGGCAGCAAAGAGCAATAAGGAACAGGAGGGCAGGGGAGATCACTAGGGGGAAGGGGAGAGCACTAAGGGACAGGAGGGAAGAGCACTAAGAGACAGGAGGTGAGAGCTCTAAGGGACAAGAGGGGAGAGCTCCAACAGACAGGAGGTGCGGGAAAAGCACCAAGGGACAGGAGGCAAGAGCTCTAAGGGACAGGAGGGGAGAGATCTGAAGGACAGGAGGGGAGTGGAGAGCTCTAAATGACAGTAGGGGGCAGCACTAAGGAATGGGGAGAGCATCAAGGGAAAGGGGGGTAGGAGAGAGCACAAAGGGACAGGAGGGGAGAACTGTAAGGGACAGGAGGGGAGACCATTGAGTGTCAGGGGGAAGAGGAGACTACTGAGGGACAGGGGGAAGAAAGGAGACCACTAAGGGACAGTGGGAGGAGAGGAGACCACTAAGGGATGGGGGAAGTGAAAGAGATCAATAAGGGATGGGAGGAGTGGAAGAGACACACAGAGAGGATGAGGAAAGCTGTAAGGGACAGGAGGGGAGACCATTGAGTGTCAGGGGGAAGAGGAGACTACTAAGGGACAGGGGGAAGAAAGGAAACGACTAAGGGACAGTGGGAGGAGAGGAGACCACTAAGGGATGGGGTAAGTGAAATAGATCAATAAGGGATGGGAGGAGTGGAAGAGACATACAGAGAGGATGAGTAAGGGGAAAAAGAAAAGCACAGAGAGGTTGGTAGTGGAGAAAAATACACACAGAGGTCTTCGGGAGAAAGACATAGAGTCGCTCATGAGGGAGACATACAGAGGGGCCTAGGGTGGGAGAAAGAGACATAAAGAAGCTGGGAAAAGTAAAAGAGACAAAGGGACTGGAAGGATGTAGGAGACATACAAAGAGGTGGGATAAGAGACACACAGGGGGCATGTAAGAGATACACTGAAAGGGGTGTAAGATACAAAACTTTAAAAGAAAACACAAAGAGAATTGTATTTACAAAATATATATAATAATACAAATAAAGAGCTACTCCCCTTTCATCCTAGGCAAGACTGAGCCCCTATCCTACCCCACAAACTCTCACTTTCACACTGCACACACACACATACACAATGCATCCCTACACATACACAGAAACACACAAAGCATCCCTACACAGAAACATACAATGCATCCCTACTCACACACAGAAACACACAATACATCCCTGCACATGCAGACACACACACACAGAAACATACAATGCATCCCTACTCACACATACATAGAAACA